TAAAGTGTGGGGTGTCTTTGTACAGTCAAATACACAAAAACAGTAACACAACTAATAATCTCATTTGAACAATGTCTGTATTTCTCACATATAGATCAAATAAAAACAAACTAACGGTCAGATTATCTTTTATTTGTGCCTATTCTTTTTCATGAAGAGAAGAGACTGTAACAGCAAAAGTTGAACTAAACTTCAACTCTTTAATGCTCATTGTGCTTCTCTGGGCTAATTATAAGTTACCAACATAAAACCCATTCAGATTTACTGAGCTTAGTAGTAAGATGTCTCAAGTTTGGCAATACCTCTTAAAAGATCTTTAACGGTAAACAAGAAGGTACACACAAACACTGCACACCAAAGAGAGAAACTATTTAAAACTTTAAAAAATGTTTTATATTTTAGACATGACCGGATTTTCTGCACATAAAATTGAGTCTAGCTATGCTCTACACTGATTTCATTGCTGGGGGTCTTGCGGTTAGGCGGAGATAATTAAGGAGTCTGAGATGACTGGTGGAAATGTGCCCAAGGACCTCCCGCACCAAACAGTGATTGGTCAGAAACCGATTAGGCCACGCCTATAGGTGGGTTTTTCAGCCTGTTGGACGTAGAAGCGCTGTGTTCGTTCAACATTGTGTTTAGAGGGTCCCTCTCTGCGGTGGTAGCAAGGTTCATCACAGGAACGAACTAGGGGACGTAACCGCTGTTGGAGAAAATAAAATATTTTTAAAAAGCCTTACTTTTGTCGATTTACCGCTGGATACCTAACTCGCTCTGGGGTTGGATTAATCTAAGACACACTTTTTTTAGTTTTTATTTTTCATTTGCTTTAGAAGCCACCGCCACTCGAAGACAATGGGATCCCAGTCATCCAAGGGAGAGGTGGCCGCGGAGGCGAACGCTGCCTCCGCCGACGCTGCGGCTGTCAAAACCAACGGACAGGTGGGTTCACTTCCCTCCGCCCCGCGACGGGAGACGCTTTGAATTTGAGGAGGACACTTGTAGCTACTGGCGCCAGTTGAATTTCTCACGCAAAATCTCGTTT